GATAATCCCTAGTCAACCCATTTGAGCCTAAGAAGTAGGAATTTTCTTTTTCACACAAATTGAAACCTTTAATCAAAACCTGGGGCAGGGTAGTCTCTCAGTTAATTCAAATATGCGTTCAGTCGCAAGTTTTCACTTCATACACAACGAGTGACATCAAAAAACATTCCTCTGGAATCAAAAGATGGTGATGGTCCCCTATCAAATAGGCAGTCATCATCTCTCAAAAGAAAAAACCCCACTAAGTCAAAACCTACGAAGGAAACTTAGGAAAAACTGGGGCATCCCGCTGACTACAATCTCAAAATAGTCAGGAAAAAATCAGGGATAATAAATTAAAAAAAGAGGTCACTACAAATCCTCAACAACATGAAAAATGTTGCAAAAAATGATTGCCTCCACAACTAAACTTAACTTGTTTGAACCATCACCAAAACGTCATTCCAAACTCAATTAGGATTCAAAATGCATAATTAACCGAGTTTAGGACTGAAGAACATCATGAAGAACGGGTTGGGTACAAATACACTTTGAGCCTTATCCTTTGTTTCTTAACTGTGAACCAGACCGCGCTACAACCCTTCAAAAGTCCTAATTGAAGCATAGGTTAGTTCAAAAGCATATTGTCACCAAAGGTATCCTGACTCCTATAAGGCTTTACTGTAAATCCTGAGTTGAATTCATACTCTTACAAAACTATCTGCTAAAATGCATTTTCAAAACTTCAAGACAAACATAAACTTTGAATTATTTTGAATATCGTTGTTTGTATATAGCTATTTGTTTGACAACAGAGAAATTCGCATGACGAACATCCCATGAACGGAAATTCTCTCAAGAAACAGAACCACTTCAAATGGGAAGACATTTCCAATTACAAACTCTCTCATAAGAAAGGGGGCATGACATGTCACTGTCCAAATCATCTTGGGACATTCAGGTCGAGATTCCAAGAAATCTCTCAAGAAGTGCTGAATAACCAGGGGCAGGTCTGTATTTGAATCACTTGGGGCATTGAGCATGAATTCCAGTAACGGGTTATGTACGTCCAAACAAACGTTTTCTGGCAGTACTACAACACTTATTACTAGAGGCAGTGACAAATCTCCCACAAAGTCCTTTTCACAAGGTGATCCCCAGTCAAATTCCCCACAAAGTCCTCTCTATAAGGTTATCCCCACAGAATAATCTTCACAGATAAGGGTACAAACCCCTCAAGGCCAAATTCATGCAATCCCCAGCCGGAGTTTAAATCTATGGAAAACCCTCTCCCTAACTAAGTTTGGTCTCAAGAAGAATCCTCAATGAGCTCTACCAAAAGAAAACACCTCTTCAGCAGTTCGTCAAATATTCTCTTCAACAGAGTTATTTTCCCAACAAAAAATTCCCCGACTGAGTTTGTCCTTCCCAACTTGAGTTTGCCTCTCAAACTATTACAAATCAAGGGACTACAACTCCTAATCCCCAGTGAAGTCATCAACAAAGTTCTTCTTCCCCAGTAGTGTTTACCATTATCACCAGTGAGTTGCTGCAAAGCCTGGAAGCCGATTATATGACAATTAACTTCTTTATCCTCAACAAGTTGTTAACTTCCATTCTCCCCGATCAAGGATATAACTCCCTAGTAGAGCAACAGACAACTAAAACTCCTGAACTCTTTTTCTCAAGAAAAAATCAACACTCTCCACAAAGATTTCTCAAAGCCAAAGCCAATCTTCCCCAACGGATTTCTCCTCAAATAACAAAACAGGAATTCCCAGTGGAAACATTCCAAACAAGGTTGAAGAGGCACATACTCTTCATCCCCAACAACATTCTGGGGTTTAACTTCCCAAAGCTCCCCAACACTTGTTAAGGAGCAAAAATACATTTCAACGAATACTTCACATTCATACATCATATTACATACATGATAAATGCATACAGCATAATCTCATTTATTTTGAGAATATCATCAAGCCATGCATACATCTGCATGCAACTAACCGTCTTCCTTACAGGGAAAAGTAAATCAACAAAAGTCCTCTTTGGCAAATACCACAACCATTTCCCAATAGGTCAGATGTTAATTCCTGAAACAAGCTAGGGCAACTATCTCTGTGACTAACAAAAACAAGTTCCAGATTAATACCTGAAACAAGACAGGACAACTATCTGTGAGCAACTGATTATAGATTAATACCTGAAACCAGACAGGACAACTATCTACATGAGAATAATAAAGATTAATACCTGAAACCAGACGGGAAAACTATCTTTCTTTCTCTTAGGTCAGGGATTAATACCTGAAACCAGACAGGACAACTATCTCAACGACCAACAAAAACAAGTTCCAAATTAACACCTGAAACAAGATAGGACAACTATCTGAGAACAGCTGATTGTAGATTAATACCTGAAATCAGACAAGACAACTATCTACATGAGTTGAATAAAGATTAATACCCGAAACCAGACGGGAAAACTATCTTTCTTTCACTTAGGTCAGGGATTAATACCTGAAACCAGACAGGATAACTATCTCAACGACCAACAAAAACAAGTTCCAGATTAACACCTGAAACAAGACAGGACAACTATCTACATGAGCATAATAAATATTAATACCCGAAACCAAACGGGAAAACTATCTTTCTTTCGCTTAGGCCAGAGATTAATACCTGGAACCAGATAAGACAACTATCTCAACGACCAACAAAAACAAGTTCCAAGATTAATACCTGAAACAAGACAGGACAACTATTTGAGAACAACTGATTTTAGATTAATAATTGAAACAAGACAAGACAACTATCTACACGACCAGCTGAAGCAGCCCTACCCATGTTCCTTCTCATAATTTCCAGATGCAGTTCCACACGAACTCATCCTGAAGCAACGCTACCCAGGTTCCTTCTCATATATTCCTAGGTGAAGTTTCACACGAACTCATCCTGAAGCAACCCTACCCAGGTTCCTTCTCATAAATTCCCAGATGAAGTTTCACACGGACTCATCCTGAAGCAACCCTACCCTGGTTCCTTCTCATAAATTTCCAGATAAAGTTTTACATGCACTCATCTTGAAGCGGCCCTACCCAGGTTCCTTCTCATAATTTCCAGATGCAGTTTCACACGAACTCATCCTGAAGTAACCCTACCCAGGTTCCTTCTCATATATTCTCAGATGAAGTTTCACACGGACTCATCCTGAAGCAACCCTACCCAGGTTCCTTCTCATAAATTTCCAGATGAAGTTTTACATGGACTCATCCTGAAGCGTCCCTACCCAGGTTCCTTCTCACATTTCCAGATGTAGTTTCACACGGATTCATCCTGAAGCAACTCTACCCAGATAAAGTTTCACACAGACTTATCCTGAAGCAATCTCACACAGATTTCTTCTCATACCTTTTCGGATGAAGTTTCACATGAACTCATCCTGAAGCAGCCCTACACAAGTTCCTTCTCATGAATTTCCAGATATAGTCCTACACGGATTCATCCTGAAGCAGTCTTACACGGATTCCTCCTAATACATTTCCAAACACGGATTAACACGGGTCTATTCCAGCATGGCATTCAAAATAAAATCGACCAAAGATTTATTCTGACACTTCTCCCAGTTATAGTCAAGCTTAGACTTGGTTTAATTCCTATCAACAATCCCCTTTGAATGACATCTATAAGCCCATCTCAGACAACTCTCCATCACCTCTCCAAAATGGCATCTTTAAGCTCATTCCCTACACAATTAACTAACACATAGTTGAGTGTAAATTTATGAGAACTCTAGTGTTCAATCATCTTCTACCTTCAAGCTACGAACGGTAACGTGCCATACTCGTTTTTTAGATTTAAGAAGATAGAACAGGGGAAGCTGTTGTACCCCAAAATTTTCCCTCTCATTTCTCAATAAAATTTCTACTGGGTCAAGACTGCACAAGTATAATTAGATCATATTGGATGTTCAAGCATCAAGTCAAAGAGGAAACTATTGAAAGAGCAAAGCAGATAAATTTGATTTTTTGAAAAAATTGAAGAAAAGCAAGCTTGCTTCGATTCGTACTAGCTTCGACTGAGCATTGCTTCGATTCATGCTAGCTTCGGCTGAACTTTTTCCTTCATGCTAGCTTCGATTGGACAATGTCTCCCTTTAAAACAGCTTGCTTCGATCCGAAGGTTTCGATTGGACATTTGACCTCCTGCATGCAAGCTTCGTTTGGACAATGGTTATCTTGATACCAAACTTTGATCAGACAAAGGGCTACCTTCACAAACAAAGCTTCGATTGAAGTATTGATTTCCTTCGAAGCAACATACTTTGAATCCAACTCTTAGGTGTCACTTTATATAAAACTATTCTTATACTATCTTTAATCAAGTCAGACTTAAATTTTTCCACTACAATCATTCACGCCACCAATACTATTAAGCTTGATGTATAAATATAAACGATAAGCAAGCAATAACATAATTAATAGATTCTCATTCCATATTATAAATTAGTGTTCAGTTTAATTCATTTTTACAAAATCAGTTTGTAAGATGAAGATTATTCTAATTATAAAGATATATTGAAACTTCATATAATATTATATATTATATTAAATATTATGTGAAACTCTTAACACAATAACAAAATATTTTTTAATTTTTTTAATTAAATAATTTTAACGACACTCACACTTTTAATCTACATTACAAAAACTAATTTTACATGTTTGATAATTGAATTTTAAAGAATTATTTAAAAATAAAAGATAAACGGGAAATCAGTGGTGCAATTAATTCTATATCATTGATTATTAAAAGTCATGTGCTTCATTAATTTTTAAGTAAACAATTTTAAAATAGTAGCATTATAAAGTAACAATGATTTAAGAGAAATATTAACAAGATTAGGCCACACTATTATCAGTTCAAAGAAAACACTTTCAAGAAAAACCATTTTTCCTCCTTCTTTCTCCTTCTCCCTCCAAAACCACCACTCTTTCTTCCTCCACCTTCTTCCTCCTCCTCATGGCTCCATCATGTTGGTGCTGGTTTCCAATCTACTTCGTCGCCTCCGTCACACTCGGCGTCATCGCAATCACCTCAGCAATCCACTCAAACTCCAAAGCCACCCCTCAAGAACTCCCACCACAATCTCACACTCTCTCCACAAACGCCACACGAGCTCTCAAAAACTCCGGTTACACTTTCATGGCTGACCTTCTCCACCGTTCACCACCCTTCTTTCTCCCCCCACAAAACTCCACTTTCTTTGCCATCAAAGACTCCGCTATCACCAACACTTCACTCCCTCTTTGGTTCCTCAAAAGCCTCCTTCTTTATCACACTTTCACAACCAAACTCACCATGCAAGAGCTTCTTAACATGTCACAAGGAACTTGCATGACAACCCTTTTCCGTCAAAAGAATGCTTCTATAACAAAAATCGAAACTTTGCAGAAAATTGTAGAGATTAACCGTGTCTCGATATCAAACCCTAATATGTTTCTTGGCGAACAATTCATCATTCATGGTGTTGTTGGACCTTTTTCTTCTATTCAACGTGAAGCTTTTCAAGGCAGTTCTGATTTCATTCATTCACCTACTTGTCCTTCATCATCATCATCATCATCACCATCATCATCGCCATCATCACCGAATAGAAATTCAACATATACTAGTGGAGATTTCAAGAAAATCGTCGAATGGAATCGAATTATTCACTTTCTTGGTTCGAAAGGTTATTCATCATTTTCAATAGCATTGCATTCGGTTCTTGAAGGGCTTCTGATAGAGTCACTGAGTTTTGGTTTTGCTTCGGTTACAATCTTTGCTCCACCTGATGTGAATTTGCTTAGCTACCCTTCAGCTTTGCTATATAGAGCAGTGAAGATTCATATTCTGCCTCAGAGATTAACTTACAAAGAACTCTGTCATTTTCCTGTTAGAACTTTGTTGAAGACAATGATGCCTGATGATCATCTTGAGATTGATGGAGTTCTTGGTTTTATGAATGTTGTTGTTATTAATGGGATTGAGATTGTGAAACCTGATATGTTTGTGTCTGAGAGGTTTGTGGTTCATGGGATTTCTAGAGCTTTTAAGATGGCTGAGAGTAATGCTTAAAGATATTGGAAATTTGTATAGTTCTTACATTTTGATGCAATCATGTAAATTTGTATCATTGTTACTTTCATGTAAGTTTGTATTCTTAGAACAAGTTATACCAACTTAATAGGTATGCTTAGTTTTTCACTTTTGATAGTTTATGATGATCTATATTTGGTGTTATTTGATTTTAAAATTTTATGTTATGTACTTGAATGTTTTAGAGAAGTCAATTTTATCTAGATCTGCTTACTTCAGTATGGCTTGTTATCTTCTTGTGTGAAAATACTTTCAAATTGGTTTGTAAAAATTCACAAATCATTCACATGAAAGGTCCTTATCACATTGGTAAAAGTGACACAATAGTGACCACACAAAACGTGTTACATAATCATTTCATTGTACATCAAGTTTCTGAAATACATTAGGTTATGTATCCTTAGATAGGTTAATTACCGAATATATTTCTATTCATATATAAATTAAGAATAAAATTCTGATCAAATCTCTTTTGAATTTATATCCTATGAACTTATATTCTTAAAATTCATATCCAAATATAATATGAGAATAAATGCAAAAGCATACTTGATTTTACCATTAGAATCGTAAATATTTGTGGGAATGTGATTTTCTGATTTGTAGAATGTTTTAGGATTTTTTTTATTCTCTTTACATAGGAGTGAAAACAGAATATCTTATCTTAAACTATATAAATAAGTCCTTTAGGATTACTATTTGATTTTCAATATTTAAATTTGGTCTCTCATCAAATTAGAATATTGACTTATGGTATCCACACAATAACCTTTCATGATATATGTGCCCTTAGCCATAGACTTAATATCAATTAGGCCACTTTAATTTTGCCTAATTAAATAATAACCCTAACGTATGTAATATTGCATTTGTGATCGAAAATTCTAACAATCTCTCACTGGTCACACATGTAACTTTACACAAAAGTTACACTTTATGAGCTCAAAATTTGCCCATTATATACTTCAATTCATATCCAAATAATCTCGTTCATTAGTTATACAAATATATATATATATAACCAAATTGATTTTTGTTATATCAATCATAACTATACCCGTCAATGATTACTAATAATGACATAACTAAATGACATAGATTCATCATGAAATATGTAGCATGAAAATCACAGAATTATAACATGTACATGTCAATTTTCAATTGGTCCTACTATACATAAGTGAGATCATTCAATAACTTAGTTGTAAAAAATATAAACAGCTGAATATCAAACTTTATAAACCAGATAAAATATTCAAAATCAAAGTATGCATACATAATAACAAACATAGAACACAAAATTCATAAATGGCTTACTCCAACTACACTAAAGTTTCCTCAAACCGTAAAACACACATGTGAACAGTATGCTCCTGAAAGACCTTGGGTGGAAGACCTTTTATAAGATGATCTTCTATCATGGAGTTTGTTCTTAAGTGTTATATGAAAAACTGTCTACTTTGTATGCTTTCCTTAATAACTAAGAACTTGATATCAATATATTTTGACTTAGTCGAGCTCCTATTACCGTTGGATATATGTTGGTTGATTTATTGTCACTGTATAGCTTAAGTGGTCTTTCAATTACTTTCATAATTTGCAGCCTAGTGACAAGGTTCCTCAACCAAATCTCATGGTTAGATGCCTCAAAGAAATTCTATAAATTATGTTTCCATGGAGGATGAAGCAATAAGAATTTGCTTGGCACTGCGCCAAGAAACTGCATCACCAGCCAACATGTAGATATAACATGAAATAGATCTTTTACTATCTTGGCATCCAACACAATTGGAGTCAAAATATCTATTAATATTCAACTGGTCTGACCTCCTATTTGTAAGCATATAATCTTTTGTTTTCTTTAAGTACCTCATAACCCTTTTGCTTTCTTTCCAATTATCCATTCTTAGATAGCTTAAATATTTGCTTAACATCTCAACTATGTGTCGCGGCACGAAAAATACCTAAATGTAAGGAACACTCGAAATACAACAATCGCCACCGAACTTTATTTATTCCAAACAAAAAGAGAAAATACCGAAAAACCCACGAAATAAAGTAAAATGGTCAACGCAATCAAGAACAGGTTATGTAAGAAGAAGATATTGTTGCACCCCAAAATTTACCCTCCTAATTTATTGTCATCTAGCTTAGGCTTAGGCTTCGCATTCATCTGCATGCATACAATTAGGTCATTAACATAGCATGTATATTTATTCAATAAAACACATAGGTTCAATAAAATCAGTGGTCCTGAAAATAGGGCTTTTCATAGTGATTTTGGAGGTGTACATATCATCTAAAGATTGGTTCTTCTGGTTCTTTCTTCAATCAATGAAGTGTGAAATTAGGGTTTCTATTTGGTGTGATACTTACATATCAAATGAGCTAGTTTCAACTGAGGATCCCTGGATTGTGGAATTAGGATTTGCCTTTATGGACTTGTGGTGATCAACTGAACTTCAAGGGTTTAGTTATACATTCCTCATTAGTTTCTCAAGGTATTCTATTGCATGGGTCATCATATGTGGTGTGTGACTTCATTACTTGTGATAAAAGGCGTTTTATTTGGTCTCATTCAAAAGCATTAAACTTGGAAAGTCTCGAGGATGATCACAATTATCATGTGATTAGGGTTTATACTACCATTTAAGGATCGATTAATTTGGTCTTCCCCATCATTTGAAATTGTGTTTCATTACTTGTTATACAAGTCAAGGCTTAAGACCTTTTGCAAAATGTTTTGGGCTCTCATTCGTGGATTTACTCAAAGTGATGAGATCAAGGAGGAAATCATAATTCATTCGAGATGAGAAACGTCCTTTTCAAATTCAAAAATCATAGAATTATAGGAATTATGTTACTTGGAAGACAAGCATCTAGAAATATCAAAAGTCAATAATTTTATGAAAAAGGCCAAGTTCATTCATCATTCACAAGTTCAAACTCAAAACAAATGTCTCATTATGCATCACAATTCGAAACCACATTTCCATTACACAATCCAATTACATGGGAATCACATATACCATTGCTAATACATTGATGCCATACCAAAAAATACATCAATTTTGTTCAAGCATAATCCTAATGTCCTAAACATCTCTACTGTCTTCCATTTACATTTTCTTCAAGCTATCTTCATGAGACTTCACTTGCTTTCATCCAAGACCACAATACTATGCCTTCACAAACTGTCAAAACAGTTCCAAACCTGCATACATAACCAATACTTGGCATCTGTTTGAAAGAGGAAAGAACCTGCATATTATAAAAAAAAACTCAGAGAATAAACATAGGGAAACCGGTTTAGTTCACACGGTTAAACAATAAAACCAGTTCAACCTCACAATAATAAACCAGAAAAATATCAAGACAGGAAAAGCAAGATTCATTAAGTCAGAATTCAAAATAGAAGGAAGAAAACTAAAAATCAATTTGCAACCATGCCTCAGTTTAAAATAAAAAATGATGAGAGAAAATCAGGAAAAAACATAATTATATAGGTAAATCAAATTCAGAAAGAAATTAAGCAAAAACAATTTTGGAGCAGGAAGTTCATTCAGAATATCAGAATAACTGACTCAACGTTAGATCAATCCTGTCCATCCAGTGTTATAACAGAATTTCTGTGTAACAAACTTCTACATTTTCTAACAAACTATCTCCACTACATAACAGAATTGGAGGGGGAGAATCATTTATTCAATACAGAGAATTAAGCTGAAGTGAGCGATAGAGGAGAATTATTTTTTCTTCGTTGAAGACGAATGGTAGCAATTATTTACCCTAAATTGCTTTTTTGATTTAGACAATTATTTTGTTTTTTGTTTTTTCTTTGAATAATAATATTAATAGAAAATCTGATGTGAATATGGTGTTATTAGTGATAAGCTGTTGGGATGGATCAAACCATCAAACTACTTGCCTTGACTTATCACGTTTTTTTGGTACAATAAGATCTCATCACAAAAACTTTCATGGACTTAACCTGGTGGGCTTAGTACCATTCTAGTCACATATGAACTCCACTGCACCCCATGTTTTTTTTTCTTTAATTTTCATTTTTCGTTCTTATTTTGTGCAATTAATTTCATAAGCTTCTTTCCGGATTTTCTTCTGAAATTTTGTGTGAATATTAACATGTTGATTCCTGACTTTTATATATTTTTTCTTGATTTTTTTTAGTTTAGGAATTTATTGATTAAATGATTGAATGTGGTTAGGATTGTTGGTGCAAGGTAATGAAAGGGGAGAAGAAGAATGAGCAATGAATGATAACAAAGAGGACTACTATTGTATATCAAATAGAGGAATAAATGAGTTACAATATTGATAGTCTAGGTAGCATATTTATACTAAAAATTGAAAATGCCAAAAGACCTATTAAAGAATAAGCATTGAGAATTGTAGAAATTAACTAAATTATATTTCCAATACCACCCCTTAATTTAGATATTCTATCAGAAGCTAACAACACCAATTTCATCTCTCAAGCAAAGAAATTGATCTGTTTTAACTGCCTTTGTTAGAAGATCTGCAAGCTGTTTCTGAGTGCTACAATGCAGAACTTCTAACGCTCCTTTCTGCACTTGACTTATGAGAAAATGATACTTCGTCTCAATGTGCTTGCTTCTTCCATGTAGCACTGGATTCTTGGCAAGATCAATTGCAGACTTATTATCAATCATCAGCTTCAGAGGTTCCTCAACTTCAACCTTCAGATCATGCAGGAGATTCAGAAGCCAAACAGCTTGACAAGCAGCTACAGCACCTGCGATATACCCAGCTTCACATGTTGACAGAGCCACGACAAACTGTTTCTTGGAACTCCAGGAAATGGGACCTCCTAGAAATTTAAACAAGTATCCATATCTCAGAGTTCCTTTGATATATCTCAGAATTCTGACAGCAGCTTGGAAATGAGACCACTTTAGATTACTCATGAATCTGCTAACTAATCCAACTGCATAATAAAT